GTGTGTGTGTGTGTGTGTGTGTGTGTGTGTGTGTGTGTGTGTGTGTGTGTGTGTGTGTGTGTGTGTGTGTGTTTGCAGTCCCAACATGGGACTTGCTCTTTTTATTTTAATTTTTGTATTTGTTTTTTGAAATGCTGGAACAGATTAATTCCATTCCCATGCATTTCAATAAGAAATGGTAGGTCGACTTACGAACTTTCCGACGTACGAACGTCCTCCCAGAACGGATTAAGTTCATAAGTTGAGGGCTCACTGTATTCCTCTGACTGCCAGTAAGAACAACTCAGTATTCTTAATGTGATGCAGTGCAACAAATCACTTATGTGAATGGGAGCAATGATGATGGCAGCTTGGTTGCCAAGAAACGCAATGAATCCCTTCTGAGATGTTCTGAGTTCTGATTTACCTCCACCTTCTCATAGGGGACTTCATCATATAACACACGGGATGAATCCATTTGGTTCTCAAGGGAAGAGCTGGCCCACCTTAAGAGGCAGAGAGAAAGAAAAACTGATTTATTTTTGTTTGCCAAAGAAAGTGTCAACATCCTGATAAGCAAAGATGGAGCTCTTTTTTCCCCACCTGTTGTGCTTAAAAAACAAATTCAAATACATGTTCCTTTGGCACTGCTTTAATAGCCTGTAGATGTTGTCCCATCCTTTGCCACCTTTGCAGCCAAATCCAGCATTTTACATAACGCAGAAGAGGTTATGATTCTTAAGGAGCAAAGAACTGAGGCACGGAAATGACATGGAAATGTGTGAGGTGCTTCACACATATCTAATTGGATGCACATGTGAAAAAAATGCACAGGGGACATTGAAGCTGCTGTGTGTAAATGTGACTGTGGTGTTTCTGTCAAGAAAGCAGGATTGCCTGAGATGCCAATATCTATGACAAATCTGGGTTTGTTGTTGCTTCATGTGACGAAGTAGGCTTGTTTGCACAGAGTGTGGAGTTTTTAAACTCTGAGTGAGAATATAATTAATGAGTAAACACTTTGGACTGTGATATTGTCTCTGTACCCAAGGGTCATTGTCACACATAGACAATATCACACAGTTCGAAGTGTTTACTCATTAATTGTATTCTCACTCAGAGTTTAAAAACTCCACACTCTGTGCAAACAAGCCTACTTCATCACATTCTTGATTACTCTTTGAAACCTGAATTAGCTCGACTCCACAGTTACAGCTATAATACAAAGCAGAAGTCATGAACACAACAGGTGTTGTCTTAGTCCAGCACCTGCTTTCACCATAACTATGGCCTAGACAACCTACTTTCCCCCACCTTTCTAGCATGTTGTCACTTTTGATTTAACTATGTTTTAGAGACATCAGGAAATCAGCCCTGACAGATTTGTGGCAGGTGTAGATGGTCTTAACAGACAGCTTAATTATTCAAGGTATTTTCAGGTATAAGGGAAAAGTCAGATGGCCTGTCTACACAAAGCTGTTTTCCCATCCAATGAGATCCAAAAACACTACAGAAGAAGCCCTTACATGTAGGAGTGTCTCACAGCATTAATGATGTTGGCTATTTTCTCCACATCCACATAGTCGTAGTGCAAAGCCTCTGGTGTTGTCTGGGAACCAGTTTCAACGAGCAGCAGCCCAAGCCAGCGCCCCAGATCTTCATAGCTGCTCGCCTGAGGGGTTAGACAAGTGTCAAAAGGGAAAAGAAGCACATATTTCTCTGGGTAGCAGTAAAGACTGTTCTTTTTCCACAAGTAAACATGATCAAGGCTAGGTCTTTACAGTAGCCATTGCCTTTTAATCCTTAATTTCTTGTTTTCCTAATGCACAGCTTAATAGCCCCATTCAGGGATTTAAATTTTTTTAGTTAATTTGAAAGCACATGCAGGAAGGAGTTCTAGCCCTGACCCCTTGCCTGTTGTTGTCTCAAGGAATGGACAAAGAGGGTCTGTTCAAGAGGAAAAGCTTGTATAATATGTGGAGTCTCTCTGTTCAGAAGGGAATCTTGGCAAATCAGGGTTGCTAGTAGCATGGAGAGGCTCTACACACAGAAGACTGTCTCCTCTTCAGACTATTCTCTCTCATGTGGAGGTAGCAAATGGCAGAGGGCAAGGTTAGAACATTCTCCCTGCCTGGACTTTCAAATGAATCCTTGCCTGTGTTTCTGAACAGGGCTATAGTCATGTTCACTGCAAGAATTAATCCAAGACATCCTGTGCACAATAATCACACAGCTTTGAAGTGAAGCTTCTCTAAAGAAGCTGTTCCAGATATTGTTGAATTGGAGTTCCCATCTTGTGTTCCAAATAACCAACCTGGTTAGGGCTGATGGGCACTACAGTCTAATATGATCTGGAGGACCATAAGATGCCTGTCTTCGCATAACTCATTAACTCATAATCATTGCTTTTCCAGCTCTCTGTTTCCACTAACCATTTCCGCTGTTCTTTCTAGGCAGAAACAGACACCCAACATGCTGTTTTGCAGAATTCTGAGTGATCCTGAAACCAGATTGTCACTGAGTCTGATGGTACGTGGCAGAATTTGAGCATGGAATATCAAAAGGAGTCACAATATTGTTTCACCATGTACACCTTTCCACTGTCGCTCTACTACAAGCTGATATTTTGTCTTACCACCATGCATGAAAACTTTTGCAGTTGTGTAGCAAAACATCAGCTTTAAAGGAAAGTGGCAGGGGATGGAAAAGGAATCAAAACAAGCAAGTAATCAAAGAATATAAATACTTTGCATTATGCCCGAAACAAGGTTCTAACTCACTATTCTCCTTGATCACCTGGTTTATCCAACCCTGCACTTTTTTCTCAATATATACAGTATTTTATAAGTTTGAGTATCTGATTGGATTACATTAAAATCCAGATGAAGTTAGGTTGTGTAAGTAGACGTGTAATGCAAGATACATATCAAGTTTCATGATAATTTATGAGACAAGCAGTATGAACTATGTTCTTTCTGAACAGATGATGAAAAATGGCTTCTCACTGCTGTATATAAATACTGCATGTTACCAAAGAGGAAATGTCAATATTGAGATCACCTGATGCTCATAAAGAAGAGCACTGTGCAGTGAGCTCTGGCTAGAACATTCATCTTGTTTTAATGCCTGCCTTTGTCAGATACATCACTCAATGCAAATGGATTTCACATCTTGGTACAGCACAGGAAGGACTTCCTGAATTTTCCCAATATCCTAGGTCTTTTTATGGAACTCTTGGGTTTTTCAAGATATCTTGCCCTGTTTTCTCTCTGTAAATATGGCAGAAAAGATTGCACTCCAACATGCACATAGGCTGGCAAAAGTTCTGCCAAACTCACCCAGACTTTTTCTCTGTAAACATGTTTAGGATAGCACTATTAGGCATTCTTACTCCTCCTCAACAGTGAAAGCTCACCTCCAAGGCAGAAACTTCTTGTCCATTGCGAAGGATGCGAAAAGCAAGAGGGTGTTTGGGGCCCAATCCTGGTGCCACCTCACAACCCCGCAGAACAACGGCATTCACATGCGTTCTCAAATCAGTGCGGTCCTTGTGGAAATACAGGGTGTTGCCTTTCAAACGGCACCAACGTTCCTTCCAGCATTGGTTCACCAGAACATTCAAATAGCCTGCAAGAAGACAATAAAGCATTTAAGGAGCAGTGCAATGACTGACACACTTAGGACAAAATGGGAGAAATCTAAAGTCTAAACAACCGTTTCCTCAGAGACCGGAAAGTGTAGAGGTAAGGTATGACAGATCTGAAATGAGAATTATGGGATTCAATTGTTTACTTTAATTTAGGGGAAGGAAATAAGTGGCCCTCCAGTGGTTTCTGGGCCATAAATCCCATCATTGGTCACGGCAAATGTGGCTGATGGGAGATCAGGTTTAGAGTTTTATAAAGAAAAATGCTGTTCCATGTAGCAGTTCCTCTGTTATCAACTTGTGATGCCTGGAAAGAATGGGATAAGAAAGTTATGAAACCATCTTATGAGAGGGCTGGATTCCTGTACCTTCAATAATGGTGTAGATAAGCGAATTTCAGCAGATGCCACTATTAAAAGTGCAGAGGCCTCTTGTTTTTTTTAATCTGACTATCCAACTCTCATTCACCCTCCCCCCCCTTGTATCCTGCTACAAACCACAGCATGGGATGTCTTCCTCTGTAGAAGATGTCTGAGTGTCCTCAGGGGATGGCTTCTTCTTAGAGAAGCTGATAATCCTGGTGATTTTCCTCCCAGCTGCTCGACTTACGGAACCCTTTAACTCTGCCAAGCCGCTCTTTTTACCTTTCCCTAGAAGGAGGCAGAGAAGCAGAGTTTAAAATCAGAATATGGTTTATCTGAACCCAGCTGAGGGCTCTGCTCCCAATCACACACTCCCATACCACCAGAACAGATTATAATAGAATTTGAAGGGTCATGAAGGAAGTGAAGGGTTAATCATGTGCTGTCAAATTATAGCAATCCTAGTAGAGCTTTCAAAGTAAGTGAGATATTTAAGGAGTGGTTTTACCCGTTCCACTCCCCCAATGAGTTTTCATGGCCAAGTTGGGATTTGAACCCTGGTCTCACAAGTCCTAGCCCATCATCCCATCTATGGTACCACACTGGGTACTCCAGGAAGGGGAAAAGTGGGGCAAAATTATTGGATTGGTGTACAGTCAGAACTGACAGGCCTGGAAGCATCACACTGGGGTGTTAAGGTTTAGTTAAAATTGAGGCGGCAACATGCAGGGCATGTGGGGTGTTAAGGTTTAGTTAAAATTGAGGGCAGGGCAGATACAAGGTCCTTTCACCTTTGCAGTGTGAGTTTTACTAAATCAGTGTGTAAAAGCCTCAAAGTAAAAGGCTTGTCCTAAACTAACTATTACTGGCATTGACTGTTAAAACAAGTTAGTTTTGCAGGAAATAGAACCAGAATTTTGCCTTTCATTAAAAGACCTTTTCATATCTTACACCCTCCAAAGACAGGTGGTTATTGGCCCTGCACTCAGTGCCCACCTGTCATGTTGCATTTCTTCCGACCTCAGTCAAAACAGCCCCTGGCTCTTAGAAAAGGGAGAGAAGCACCAGGGACTCACCTTGCTCATGGGGCTCCCTTCGAGCCGCAGAGGAGCAGTTTTCTGCTGTTGCCACACTGTCAGAGTCAGAGGTGTGTTTGTCCTGTGAAGACCTCTGAGCAAAGGAGAAAAGGACATGTTCAGTTGTTCCCTGGTTCTCTATTTCCTTCTAGTTCTCTTCTGGTGTCAGCTGAAGACTTACAGCCTGCAGGTTGTTCACTGAACCAAACGCATCATGAATGCCAAGGGATGTTGAGCAGTATTCAAACTACTGTAGTACCCAGGTATTCTTTGTGTTCAAAACATCTGCTAGTGAATAGCCAGGCATCTGCAATGGGGCAGTTTGTTACTCAGTTTCCTGGCATCCCAATTTACTTGGCATCCCAAGGAGACTTTGGGGGGGGGAATCTATTTTTGGGCAGCAACTACACCCTGGCTGTGCTGGGTAGGTAATTCTGGGAGTTCTATCCAAATAAGGTAATTTTTCCAAACTCCGATATTAAGAAAGATGATAGCTTCCTCCCTTTGAAAAACCAAAACACACACACACACACACACAACAGCAGCCAAAACTAACCCAGCAAATATAAGAGAGTTTTCCTTTTCATACACCCCATGACTTCAAATGCTGTAGCCCAAATATGGTTTTACTGTTGGTATCACAACACACTGGCCAGATCTTAAAAACTGCAGCAAATGTGACTTTGTGTCACATGCATTTTGCCATGGGAACAGCATCAAGAACCTGGGGCTGGAAATGAGGGGCTCAACCCTTTCCCCCCCTCTAATAATCAATATGGAAATGTCCCTCCTGTTGGAAAAAGAGGGTTTATTTCTGTTGGCGCTATGGTGGGATGAAGTATGTTACACACCCTTTTTCGTCCCTGCCATCCCAGTGCTCCCTCCACTGGCTCCTCACAGCTAAAATTTACATGGAAAAACCACATTTATGCAATTAACTTGGTTTGTCCCTGAGAGTGTCTGAAAAGAATATTAAAAAAAAAGGAAAAGGAAAAGGAACTACCTTGTCATGGTCCACCTTGCACAAAAGTACAGGAGATGTGGGAACTTCAGCTGCACTGGGTCCACCTCCACTTGGACTGCTCGCTTCCTTGATCACCTGCAAGAGGCCAGTATTAAGTGCCAAGAGAATGGAAATGCTGATGCACCCCTCCCACGATGTATTACTTGTGCCTTACAACAGGTGCAGTCCACTCTTCAGCTGGATGAGTCTCCCCTTAAAATTTAACAGTAGCAAGACCAACCTCTGCCTCCCGGAAACATTGTATGTCTGCATTAATTACCCTGGCAAATTACAATCAAGGTTACTATAAAATATTTTCTTATACATTAAAAAATTAATTTAAATTTTTAAAAAATTCCTAGGGGAAGTGATGGAATTAATTCACACCACAATTTTTCAACTGTCTCTGGGATTTATTATTTTTTTGCAGTGCTCAGCTATTTTAAAGGGCACATACTCTGTGAAACTCTTCCCAGTGCTACAATTTCCCACTTTATACAGCCTGACGACTCACAACATGGTCAGTTAATGCAGTAAAGGACCACTCCTTTGGTGTGGTGATTAATGCATTGCACACAAACACAGCAGATGGCTAGCCTGACCCACATAGAGTCAACCTACATGGTTGATGGGGACACAAGAGGGCCTTTTCTGTGGTGATGGGGACACAAGAGAGGGCCTTTTCTGTGGTAGCTCCCCAGTTATGGAATGCTCTCCCTTGGGATATTAGGTTAGCGCCTCCCCTTTTACGCCTCCATCGACAGTTGAAGACCCACCTCTTTTAATACAGTACTGTGAGCCACCTTGAGCCCCCTTATCAGGGGAAAGGCAGCCTATAAATAAGACAAATCAATTTTAATATTTTCTCCCAATTTAACTCAATCAGCAGAGGGAGAGGGATAGAGAGAGATCATGAAGGCCCAATACTATCTTGCCAATTTACTAATTAGATGACAGTGATTTTCTGCTTTTCTTACCCCTGGTTTCTGTAATGTTTCAACTAAGGATGCTAACAAAAGTGATTATAGAGGATTTGTTTAGGACTTGAGGTACCGCAGGACATTTTCTCCTTTATTTCTTCAGCACACCCTCTATACCTGTCCTGTCACATTCACACTAGGTTATCTTCAGGCCCCCTAACAGGTCTGGTAGAATTCAGGTTATCTGCTCATGTATATTATTTCAGGGCAGGCAGTTTCTCAGAGCCAGGTTTGTTGAACCAGTGCTGCTGGATCATTGCTGAGAGGGTATTTAACATTCTGAAGAAGGGAGGATAGTTGAAGCCCAAGCCAGTGGGGTGGGTGTACTTAAGAGGTGGTGATGTATGCCCCAAGGGCAAGAATTGAAAACTTGAATAAAATCATCCACAAACAAGCAAGGACATTTAAATGTTTGCTGTGCTGGACAATATCCAACCAAAGAACACTTGCTTGGTCAAGACACAAACAAAGCTAAGGAGCAGCATACAGTGGTGCCCTGCATTACGACGACCCTGCATGATGACGAAATCGCTTGACAACAACTTTTTTGTGATCGCTATAGCGATAGCAAAACAATGGTTCCTATGGGTTTTTTCTCTTAATGATGATTAGGTCCCTGATTCAGGAACCGTTTTTTCGCTGGACAATAATTTTCCCAGTTGATCGTTGGCTCTGCAAAATGGCTTCCTGCTGTTTTCCGACCCTTGTTTCGGAAGGCAGGCATTAAAAACAGCTGATTGGCGCTCACAAAATGGCCACCCTATGGAGGATCTTCGCTGGATGAGCAGGTATTTTCCCGATTGAAACGCATTAACTGGTTTTCAATGCATTCCAATGGGGATTTTTTTTGGCATGATGACGATTTTGCTGTACAGCAATTTTGACAGAATGGATTATCGTCGTCATGCGGGGCACCACTGTACATTAAATGAAGCCTCTTCTATTCTGGTACTTCAGATTCTAATGAATGCTACCTAGCTTACACATTTCATGCAGCTCAATCTTTCTAAGCCCTGTCAAGCATGAATTCCAAGAGGAAAGAAAACAAATCCTGTGCAGTTCTATTCAGTCATTCTTTATTACATTGAATCAAGACTCATGGAAAGGCCCATGGAAGCCTATCCCTTTTGTCTCTAGTTCTGTTCCCTTTCTATGTGTGGTGGGCAACTAGCCTGAAGAGGCAGAGTGATATTGTTTGAGCCAGTATTTTCTGAAAATACTGAAAATCTGTATATCCTGATTTTCAGGATTCCAACTCATGGGGAGAACCCATTTCCTCTTCAGATGTGTTGCGCTCCTCGTGTAGGAAGGTGACAGAGAGGACAACCCTTCAGTTGAGGTGTGGGCGGAAAAGCTGTCATGCCAAAATATTCACATTTGTGCCCTCAAGCTGAACTGTAGAGATACTCTAACTGCCTTCCATGGAGATCACATCAACACCCTCCCACATGCTCACTGTCCATGGCCAACATACTTATTACAGTAAATAAATGCTGTGTTGTATCAGCTGCTGACCTGCTACCATTTCAGTGCTGCTTAAGGACTCATCAGCACACAACATGGAAACGGCTACTAGCCTGAATTTAAACAGGTTACAGTACTTAAAAGAGAAATCAGACACGTCACCTCTCTGAGTATTTTGACTTATAACCTCTGATCATTTGCTGTCCTGGCAGGGGATGATGGGAATTGCTGTCTATAACATCTGGTGTGCATGTGTGCATGTGTGTGCGTGTACGTGTGTGCATGTGTACGTGTGCATGCATGCGTGCGCACGCGCACCAGATTGGTGAAGGCTGCATTGGAGGAAGAGCTAAAGAACAGCTTTCGACTACTTAGTAACTATTGTTAAGATTTAAAAAAAGTTTCACAGGAGTTGAGATTCTTGATGAAAGCATCCATTTTCTGCTTCCAGGGACTCAGTGTGAAACACAGCATACCTTTTCCCTGGAAAGATTTGGGGTGCAAGATTATGTGGGGCCTTTCAGAGAAATAATGTAGAACAAAATCATGGGTTTATGGCAAAAGTTGTGAACAACTAAAACTGATCACCATCAGGCAAAATTTGTAATATTTATGTCCAGCCTTTCTTCCAAGGAGCTCAGGACAGTGGACCTGACCATCCCTCTCCTCACCCTTGCAGTTTTATTCTCACAGAAACCCTATGAGGTAGGCCAGGGAAAAAGAGAATGACTAGCCTGAAGCTACTGCAGTCCTAATCTGACCTAATGATTACAACACACTGTTGTACAGGAGTCCTCAACCTTCCTCAGCTCCAATTCCCCACAGACAGAAATCTATATTCTGCCCACTCACTGCCGATGCCAGACAGCTCCTCTCTTCCTGACACACACACGGAAAGAAAATAGGGCTTTATACTTGAGATGTTTCTTATTGCAATATATTTAGAAGTTGGATAGAAAAGAGAAATGAACAGAAAAAGTCAGCAACCAAGCTGCTGGACTTTTTTAAAGCATCCAAACCTCTGTGTTTAAAACAGATTGAAGTAACCAGGCATGTAGGGCAGGGAGAAAAGACAACCCTCTCGTGCAATTTTTGATGTCCCGTCTTTCCCAGACACAGACGTCAGGCTGAGGGGGGGTGACTTCATCTTGCAGAGCTTCCTACTGAATCAGTACCGCTTTAGAACAAAAGCAGGAAAGAATGGAGGAGGGGTGGGGGGTTAAGCAAACACTTCCTCCCCTTGCCGCCCTGTAATTCCAGACTTTTGGAGGAGGGGGGCAGGGTGGTAAGGGTCTGCCCTACCAGCTGGCTTCCTCACCCACGCCCACCCCATTACTGATGCTGCAGTCAGGCAAACCTGATAAGAAGACTGGTTGGAAAGCTCCCCCCCTCCCCAAAGAAAGATAACAAATGATCTTTTTCCCGTGGGATCCAGGCACTTTTGCCCATTTAAAAAAGTTCTTTCTTTCTTTCTTTCTTTCTTTCTTTCTTTCTTTCTTCCCCCCTCCCCAAAGAAAGATAACAAATGATCTTTTTCCCGTGGGATCCAGGCACTTTTGCCCATTTAAAAAAGTTCTTTCTTTCTTTCTTTCTTTCTTTCTTTCTTTCTTTCTTTCTTTCTTTCTTTCTTTCTTTCTTTCTTTCTTTCTACAATACGCAGTGTCCCCCAAACTACCTTCAACCACTCTTCAGCCTGCTCTTTGCTCTGCACTGCCAGCACCAGGGCTTCGGCTCCCGGCAGGGAAAAACGCAGCTCATGCTTCTTGCGGCGTCCATCTTTTGGCACGTAGACGACGTTGCAAACACCCATGGGTACCTCAAGGTGTGGCTCTCGGTGCTTGGAGCTTTTGTAACACTGCAATGGAAAAAAAGGGAAAGTTTTATGTTCATTGAGTTCAATATTGCCTGCATTTTTTTTCACAGCCCACCTCAGCTTGGCAAGAGCAAGCCATTAGGTGCTGGGTTTGGGGGTGGGGTGGGGCAAAAGGGGTCAGCTAAAAAGAGGAAAGAAGAGAAACATTCAGGAACTTCCATTGCTTGGTAAGTGGTAAGTCCATCAAACACACTGCCTTATAACCAGAGACTTTTACAGATAATATTCTCAAATGGCCTGTTAGCCAGTTCTGCTCTAAGATTCTCTCTTTGTATTTGTTTCTCTTAAAATAGCCAACTCTCCCAGTAAAGGCCCACTTCAATTCTCTGCCAATCTCCAAGAAGAATCGATATTCAGCAGTCATATTCTTTTATTTTTATATATATATAAGAATCTCTCTCTCTCTCTCTCTCTCTCTCTCTCTCTCTCTCTCTCACTCACTCTGTATATACATACAGTGGTGCCCTGCATAGCGAAGATAATCTGAGCAGCAAAAATCACTGCAAAGCGATTTCATCGCTATGCGAAAAGAAAAATCCCATAGGAATGCATTAAAACCCGTTTAATGCGTTCCTATGGGCTTAAAACTCACCTTTAAGCGAAAATCCTCCATACGGCCGCCATTTT